TATAGGAGTCCGATCTGTTGTGTGTGTGTGTGTGTGTGTGTGTGTGTGTGTGTATGTTTATTCAGTAGTCGGGTTAATTTGTCCATATTCATTATGTCCATTATTTTAGACATCCATTGATATTTTTTTTGTTCTCCAGTATTGAACATAAGTTATTCTAGCCGACGTCATTAAATAATTAAATAGTCTATCTTTCTTTTTGTCCATGTCTAAGTCTAAAATTGCCCAATAGGAAATATTCAGGTTTTAGCCTAACATCACCTGAATTTTTCTTGAATTTCTCTCCAATATTTCTTTGCTATTTTACATGTCCACCACATATGGAAGAAAGTTCCTTCGTGATCTTCGCATTTCCAACATTTGTTTTGAATATTTGGATAGCATTTCAGTAGCTTCTGTCATGTAATGTACCAATGGCACATTATTTTGTCCCAATTTTCTTTTAGATCATAGGAGTAGGTGAATTTTAGTTCTTGATTCCATATTTTTCCCATTCTTCTATTTTTATTACATGTCCAATATTTGCAGCCCATTTGATCATGTCTTTAACTTGTTCTGTTTCAGTCCATCAATCTAATAGAGTTTTTTATTTTTGAAATTCTTATGATTAGCTTCTTATCTGCTTTCATTGTCCCAAGGCTTCTTCTCCTGCAAATAACTCTTGCCATTCAGTACTGTGGCTACTATCAAGATCAAAGATTGTAGTACAGATGAGACCAAAATTGTACTCAGCAATTTTGATCTGCCAAACTAGATCAGACCTTGAAAACAATAGTTCTTCCTCCACCACCCAACAAGAGTTTCCAGAATTACCTTGTTGGCACAGTCAGTGATGAATCTGTGATATGGAGTTCAAAGTAACATTTAAATATAAATCTATGCTAAGGGGGAATTGTGATGTGTAACGTAAGTCAAGATAATTATGTAAAAACCTCTATATTAGAAGAAAAAAATCTTGTATTTCTGACAATCAAGCTAAAAAGCCCAAAATGCAAAACTTTCTGCAAAGTAGAAAATGTAACACTTATCCATTTAGTGGTATGGAAGTGATTGAATGTTAAGCCAATGATTTCCATTTTAGTTGATAAAAAAATCCTTTCATCCCCACAAAACCGCATGAGAATATTCAGAGATATCTCCAAGCCTCCTATCACCTTGTTGAATGACAACTTAAAGAAGCATTTGGGGGGGGGAAAGGAAGACACCTAATGAGACTGAAGAGACAGACCACTTTCATCCTATGAATTTATTTAAGAACCAGAATAGAAAGATCAAGAAAAATGTTAGGGACATCTTCTGCTTTCTAATTTGAACCAAATTAGGTACACAATACTTAGACAAAGACAAGGAGAGATATACTTAATCAAGGTAAGAGCTTCTGATGTAATAATTTTACTAATTTGAACACACATACACACACACACACACACGGGTATGAGTTTCTCAGGCTGTATGGCCATGTTGCAGCTGCATTCTCTCCTAACATTTTGCCTGCATCTGTGGCTGTCATCTTCAGAGGTTCCTCTGTCTAATTTGTATGTCATGCCAAATATTGATTGCAGAAAAACAGAAAATGAATGGAGGATTAACTAAAGTAAGGGCATGTGCTCACTCATCATTTGTAGTAGCCAAAGTATAATGTCATCATGCTATCTGAATTATGGACATCTGAATATACATGCACATATACAACTAATTTTCTTTGTTCCTGTCCCAATCATGGCATTTGACAGTCTAAAAGCGGAGGTTATATCCGAGAATGCAAAATCAAAATATTTTGTGGGAAGCTGGTTATCATCATGAGGAACGGAAAACCCATCCTGCATCTGAATGTTATAATTATAAAATAACCTTATTATATAAGGGGTGTCTGCAAAATGCAGGCTATAGGGCTAGGACTGGGAATAAAGTGTTGGGGAAAGTGCTGAAAAAAACAAAACCATAAATTCGGGTTGGGCAGACAGGAGAGAATGCTTCTAGACCATGGCCATACAGCCCGAAAAAACCTACAACAACCCAATAACCTTATTCTTATATTCTGCCACAATCTCCATAGAGGGACTTGGGGTAGCTTACATGGTGACCAAGCCTAACATAGACAAAATTACAAAGTAAACACAATTAAAAACATATAACAGATAAACAACATCATTAAAGCAATTAAAACCAGAAAAATAAAAACATCATAAAAATACATCAACCGACATCAACAACCAGTAGCCAGAAAAAGTGGGCATGACCAAACTTGGGGGGCAGGAGCTGGGGTGTCTGCAAAATGCAGACTATAGGGCTAGGACTGGGAATAAAGTGCTGGGGAAAGTGCTGAAAAAAACAAAACCATAAATTCGGTTGGGCAGACCTGATCAGGAGCTAAATTGTAGTTGTTCAAAGACACATTGGAACATCCAAGTTTTCAAATCTTTATGGAAGATGGACAGTGTGGGAGTTAATCTAATCTCCCTGGAGAGAGAGTTCCAGAGCCAGGGGTCCACCACTGAGAAGGCCCGCTCTCTTGTCCCCACCAGCCGTGCTTGTGACAGAGGCAGGAGTAAGAAAAGGGCCTCCCTGGCAGATCTTAGAGCCTGTGCTCTAAGATCTGCCAGGGGTCTTGTAGGTCTATAGTCCGCTCCCCGTGACTATAGACCTACAAACCACGGTCACTCCGTCATGTATGAACACAAGCCACAACTACATTTTAGCTGCTGTGTCAGTGACACTCCTTTGCTGAATATCAATATCTCATTCTCATGTACAAATAAAGAGAAACAATAGAGGGAGGATGTAGCATAAAATCGTGGGAGGGGGGCGAGGGAGGGGGGAGGGGAGAGGGCGAGATATATGTTCAGAAGACCTACAGTTTAAATAAAATGTTTCTTTGGAACTTGAGCAAGACTTAGGCCCCATCTATGCTGCCATTTAATGCAGGGTAGGGGATGCATTAGCCTGGGGTGTCCAAACGACAGGTAAATGCATTGTAACTTGGAATATTGTATTAATGTAATGTTTTAACTGTTTATAATTATTGTTACAATGTATTTTATTGTGTTGAATTGTAGGCATCAAATGTATGCCGGTTGGAAGCCACCCTGTCCCCCTTAGGGGGTTGAGAAGGGCGGGGTAGTAGTACCCGAAATAAATAAAATAAATAAATAAAGTAAACCCAGAAATCGAGGTTTATTCCTGGTTAAAATAATACCTGGAAAGCACTAAGCTTGTCCAAATCTCCTGGTGTCGTTTTGAGACACCAGGAGCTTTGGACAGGGCTTGGGCCTTGATACTAAGGCTTTTACACTACATTTTGGGGTGATACAGGGGTCAGGGAGAGAAGGGAGCAGTGGATCCCCCCCCCACACACACACAAACACTCTGTCAATTGCAAATTGGCAAGGATGGGTGGCCACCACTATCTATGGCAGAAAGGCAGGATTTCAGCCCACTGGCATCAGCACATATTCCTTGGAAGAAGAGTTGCATTCTACTATAGATGGAGGATGGGAGTCTCCCTACAATAAAAGAATCTCTCCCTGAGATAAAGCATTGTATGTATGCACTGAATGGAGAGCATACAGAAATAATTAACTGTTCAAAAAGACTATGGAGTGGTTCTGGTCTAGAGATCACTTAGCTCAATTCTCATGTAGAATGCCAAGGACTTTTATAAGTAACTCTCAACAGAGCGGTTCTACATCAGAGAAGAATACAGTGAGTGGTGATGCATGATGGTAATACCTCACAATAAATACAGGGAGCACACAAAAGCAAATGGGATGGTGTGAGTGGGATTTGGGGGGGAAGTATGTACTTTCAAAATATAGTTGTAAATATATTTTAATATTTTCTGTTCCATGACGCAAACATGTAATTATTTTTCAATTCTATATAATATTTTTATGCATTTGCTCTGTTTAAATTGTATTGTGTCATGTTTGCTGTTAGCTGCCTTTAGTCCCCATATCAAGGGAAAAGGTGGGATTAAAAATAAAGTAAATAAATAGCTGTCACAGCATGATGCACTACAGGCTCTTGACCAAATGAATACTTTGACACTTAACAGAATTGACAGGGAAAGAGGTTATCACTAATCTGGAGTTATCACTAATCTGATATTCTTTGCTGACCCTTTGCATGGTATAAACGGAGACAACACACATTAGAAGAGTTGGGGGGGGGGGGTTTGCTAGTCGCCCTGCTCTATCACAAGTGACCTGCCCATTGAACAAAATCAGAAGGAAGGGATTATCTGCAATTGCTTCAGAGGGGAAAACAGAAGTAAAAGACGCTTTCCAATGTTTTACAAAATCTCTCAATTTTCTATGAAACCTACCCATGTGAAATCCATACTTGAAGAAATGCAGAATGACTATTTTCTTTGCATGGTTATCAAGATGCTGATTTTTTTCCCCAGGTGCCAAAATATGCCTCCCACAGCATCATTACTTTCAATCACACAGCATTCATTACAAACCAATCAAGAGTGATTAATCCATTGATTCATTGATATGATTTCTTTCCTGCCATGTCTATTCCATTAATTCTATTATCTATTGTCATAACAAATCTTGTGGGAAGAGTAACCTCAGACTAGTGTGTAAAACCACCTCAGCTGACCATTTCCCAACAGCCGGATTAGCAGTCTTCAACAATACATCTCTCTATTTCATATTATGCCATTATTTGCAGATCTGAGTGATGATCCTTCCCTCATTATCTGAAATTGGAATTGTTTCTTAATTTGGACAACATGTCCCAGAATTCTAAGCAAACATGGCTACTTAAAATGCTGTGTGGAATCATAATGCAAAACTATTTTTCCAAGCTCTCCCTATTATACATTTGAGGTTGTTCTGTGATTTATCTTCATAGGAACTGGATCCCATCTGCACAACCATAAAGAACTGTCAAAGAGGAAAAGACCACATGAAGTTCTCTGGATAAAGAGAGGTAAACAATCTCAATGGATTAATTGACAGGCTTGCAGTAAAAAAAATGATATTACATACCTTTGCAGGTGAAACATTTGATGTGAAAATGCCTGGCTTGGACGCGAAGCACTTCACCTTTGCATGGCTCACCACATTTATGGCAGTGGATGACTGGCTTCTCTGTGGAGTGAGGAGGCTCCTGAGGGTGGGCCACTGTAAAATAACAATAATAAGAATAATGAATTAGATGCAGAAGATTTTATTTCAGATGGATTTAGATTCTCAACAATATACACAAAAAGACACATTTAGAAAGAGGCAAACAGTGATAACACTGGGTTGCTGTGAGTTTTCCGGGATATATGGCCTTGTTCCAGAAGCATTCTCTCCTGATGTTTCACCCACATCTCTGGCAGGCATCCTCAGAGGTTGTCAGGTTTGTTGGAAACTAGGCAACTGGGGTCTGTATATCTGTGGAATGTCCAGGGTGGGATTCAAGCATACTATTTTTGTATGCTTGAATCCTATGATATCCTATGATTACAAGGAAAATAAAGATATAAGCAGTTGTTTTCCTAGGCCAGTTTTATTTCAATCTAAGTTACATGTTGAAAGTTTGAATGCCTATTTTATATTTTGGTGGGTTTTAGCTGCTTCCCCTGCCCTCCTCCCACCCACATAAACCTTTGCATTGAATGTCACCTACATGTCGATTTTTGCATTGATATCTCTATTTTAATATGTTATAATCACGTGTTTGTTTTCAGATAGTTGTACTTTTACGATTTCATTGTTCTATTGCATAATAATTGTCCATAATGGAAATTGGTACTGCCCTATGGAAAGAAATAAGAGGAGACTGCAACAGTTTCCTGTTTTAAATGTTGTATCACATTTAAGCAACTGAAATGTCACATTTCCCCTCCACCCCATTCCTTGTAGGTTTCTGCTCTTCTATTTTGAGTACCTTGTTATTTAATCCATGAGTACAGAGAACACTGAAGGGAATGCCTTCTAATATTTTAATTAGCAATTATTTCTAAATAAGACCTCAGAAGAACACAGCCTTTGGTGAACTCTCCCTAATCTTTAAGTAATGAAGATCTATTTTTGGAGTACAAGAAATTGGGTTATTAGCTTTGCCCCAATGGACTACTGCATTAACTCGCAACTGAAGTAACACTGTATTTATAAAAGGCCATGGATAGGAAGACCATCTCGAGTCCTGGGTAGTCATTTCCAAAATTTTACAAACAATAGAATCCCTAGGACCCCATGTACATGAAAACACAAGCATTATGAGGCACTCTGCTGAGCTCATAAAATGTGCTTCTTAGTGCCTGGTCCCATGTTAGTGCTTTCAACCAACTCTTTGTGACATGGATGTATTGCAATTACAATGTCGTAAAGTGATCTCTATGTCCCACTTGAGTGCTAATATATTTTGTGGTAAGTAGTCTTGCAGTCACATGGATGTAGTCACTCTGTAATTCATCACAACACACATGTCTAGTATTTTGTACACAGTTTTTCAGAATCTTTCTAAAAGGTTTCCTAAAGCCAAAGAGGTATGAAGGCTTGTCCAATTCAGCCAAAAGACATGCTGTTTTGGAATCCATTTTCAGCTAACCCCTCATTCTGTTTATCGGGAAGTTACTTGAATTGGGAGGAGTGTTGCTGTTTTCATTCAGCAGATTCGGCCCATTGGCTACCATGGAAAACTTTAAAGGTTAAATCCTCAGTCATTTTAAGGTCTCTCTACATGAAACCTACCTCAGTTTTAGTCCCCATTTACAACTGCAGCCTGCCAAGTTTCAGAACAATTCACCAATCTACTGTTTTTTAGAACATTTTTTTAAAATAAGACAAATTGCAAGACTGGGTTCTGGGATTTGTAGTTGCTGGTTGTATCAATTCTCAGCCAATCAGAGCATTGACACCACCAGACCTTTTATTGGCTGGGTAAAAGAGACAAAGAGAAACTTCATCTCCCATCATGCTCCAAGAGGAACTCAGAGACTTTTCAATACCCACCACATGCAAATGCTGCTGGGAAAGTGAGTTCCCAGCAGGGCCCTCTTGGAAGGAGGAACCTAGGGAACTTTTTTGCTGCTGAGGAGGGAGAAAAGATGCTGCAGGATGTTCTTCAGGAGCCCTGTGGCAAACTCCTGCCTCAGGAATGATGTAGATTTAACTCCATCCTCTCCAGTAGCCAATAAATCTAGCTCTTCTGATTAGTTTTGACCAGGTTTTCGGTTCCCTCCTCCCCATTCTGTTTTCGGAAATTACACGAAGGACCACCAAATATTACAAATCACTTTCAGTCAAACTGATCTGGGTCCAAGCCTACTCTATGGTCAAGGAAGTTGGGCCCAACTCTCCCAGATACATATCCCAATATCTAGTCAAAATAATTGATGGCTTTCAAATGTTCTAGTCCTACTTTCAAATTCATCTTCAATATTAGATTTAAATTTAAATAAAGACAAATGGGCACTCTTATATCTTCTGTTTGCTCTGTTGTATATTTTGTTCATACATTATCTGTGGGGGATGCAATCCTAAAGTTCATATGGATACACCAAACTGCAGATAACAGTAAACTCCATAGAATCACACTGGAAGACCTAGAAATGCCTAGAGCAGTGGTTCTCAACCTGTGGGTCCCCAGATATTTTGGCCTTCAACTCCCAGAAATCCTAACAGCTGGTAAACTGATTGGGATTTCTGGGAGCTGTAGGCCAAAACACCTGGGGACCCACAGGTTGAGAACCACTGGCCTAGAGGGAACATATTTTTTTTGAATGTGAATAAGTGCATTAGCTTATACCCATTCCACAGACATGAGGGTTGCATTGTATGATGTTTCTCCATCTTTTCTCCTTCTCTTTTCTTGTCTGTATGAGTGGTGTGGCCTGCCCTACTAGAGTGTTCAGGTCTACAATCCACAATCCATGGACTGAAAACTAATGACTTAGTTTTTTTCACTCTGCAACATGCTGTCATGACTGCACAAAATTCAAAGGAATAAGAATGTCCTACAATAACTATTAATAGCTCACCTAGACACATTGGCAGAACTGTGGGTTGCCATGACCATGGAATATCAAACTGAATTAGTAAAATACTAGGCAAACATTATGTAGATTTCATCACTTTTAAGCAACAACTAGGATTATCATCTATTTACAGGTGTAATCTAAACTAGTCAGAAATAAAATCCTGATTGACAGTCCTTTTTGGATTATACTTTGTGAGGGCCACTAATCACTCATTGGTAACAAAGGTTTCTGCATCAATGGGAATTTAGAATAATACAAGAATGGTAGCAACTAAAAGCTTAGGCAATGGATTGAGACAGACACTCAAGTTTAAGATAATGATGCAGTTGACGCTCTGTTGATTTGATGCAAACATGTTTGTTCTGCCTGACTTTCATCTTTGGTGAAACTACTTTTGTAGAAATTTGAAACCACAAAAAAACCCTACAAAATCTATATGATTACAGAAGACAGTAGAATAAAAAATAACATGCACTGGTGTATAGTTGCATAAGTGTTGCAAATCCACTCTGAATACAACAATCACAGGAAACTATTATAAAAATAAATTAAACTGGCATTAACAACAATGGCTCAGTCTCTGCATTCATTTCTATTAAAATATTGTTTGTATGGAATGTATGGATTTCAATTCAAAATGGATTTCAATTACTCACATAATCTCACCTCTATTGAAGGATACGTGATGTTATTATATTTTAGTCAGTTCTTCACAGATGTTAGGATTGATTTGTGGACATCACTTTATTTTTACTGTATGTAAAGTGGTAAAGCGGCACTCTAGAAACACAAGCACCCTTCACACTCATTCATCTCTATGTTCTACAAACACAAGACAGCAATTCATGAAATTAAAGGCAAAAAAGTATCAGAAAAGCATAGTGGGGGGGAAAAATAAGAACAAGTGCTGCAAAAATAGAATCAGGTATTACAGTAAATGGGCAATGCAATTAAATATTTTTATGTATGCTTTCCCATCAGCTAAATACAAAATTACCAACAGCATCTGCAAATGCATCTACATGACCTTTCAAAGAAATATCTAACCCCTTGTTGTTGTACAAATATTAATGCGTACTGCTGTTGTATTTTTTCCACATTCATTCTGCAGTCACAGGACCCAGCCTTCCCCAACTTGGCAGCATCCATAGAATATGGACTGCAATTCCCATGATCCCCAATCAGCTTTCTATATTTAACTGGCTAGAAATAATGGGGGTTGTCACATCCAGAATGCAACTGGTCGAGGACAATTAGACTATCCTGTTCTTCCTGCTGAGTTTTTTTCCCCCAGACGAAGTCTGCAACCTGTTTCCCATACTCACTTTTCTTTTTTGTGTCAGGAGCGACTTGTGAATCTGCAAGTCGCTTCTGATGTGAGAGAATTGGCCATCTGCAGGGACGTTGCCCAGGGGACGGCAGGATGTTTTTGATGTTTTACCATCCTTGTGGGAGCCTTCTCTCATGTCCCTGCATGGGGAGCTGGAGCTGACAGAGAGCGCTCATCTGCGCTTTCCCCAGATTTGAACCTCCGACCTGTTGGTCTTTAGTCCTCCTGGTACAAGGGTTTAACCCATCCCCCCCCCCCCCCAATACTCACAAAATTCCATACAATTCATTTGGCTGCTCCTTCTGTTAATGTCCTTGCCACATTTAAGAGAACTGACTCTTCACTAGCACTGAGAAAAATGCTTCTCTTTTGAACAAAATAAAATTCCAGGAACATGACATTTGTGTGTGTGGTGGTGGTGCCGGGAAGGCAGTGTATTTCTAATATTATGTGTTTCTCATAATCTCCCTTTCTGCCAGACTCTCTGATGGAAGGGCACAGCCAACTGAATTTGCCATTGCTCTTTAATTTAACATGCAGCTGGCTCCAGCTCCTTCAGAAAGAAGCTAATAGCTGAAAACCTTTACCCCACTGGAAATATATATTACATGACAAAGCTTTCTAATGCCAGAGGTGACCTTGCATTCGTCTGAAAGAAGAAACAGAGAGCAATGAAGGAAGGCAACAAGTTGAGATTTCAAAAAGGAGGAAGAGAAATGGAGAGAAATAATAACCAATTAGTCTTCAAAGTGCTGTCACATTCCTTTCTTTTCTTTCCCTCACTTTTTTGAGTTGCAAGAAACTAAAATTGAGATTTTTAA